ACACCCTGGAGCCACCAAGATGTATCGATATTTGAGACTTAGTTACTGGTGGCCGTGCATGAAGAGGGAGATAGCCTGGTGTGTTGAGAGGTGCTTGACATGTCGGATGGTCAAGGTCGAGCACCAGAGGCCGCATGGCAAGCTTCAGCCTTTGGAGGTTCCCATGTGGAAATGGGAACAGATCACCATGGATTTCATCACCAAGTTACCTCGGACGGCTAAGGGATTTGATGCAATATGTGTTATAGTGGACCGTATGACCAAGAGTGCCCACTTCCTAACTATTCGGGAGAGCTCCTCGGCCGATAAATTAGCTGATGTTTAAGTGCACGAGATTGTCGCTCGGCATGGTGTTCCAGTTTCCATTGTATCTGATCGAGATGTCTGGTTCACTTCTCAATTTTTGGCAGAGGTTCCAAGAGGAACTGGGTACGAGGTTGCACTTTAGCAATGCTTATGATCCGCAGACTGGTAGCCAGAGCGAGAGGACCATACAGACGCTTGAGAATATGTTGAGAGCTTGTGTTATAGATTTCGGTGGGAGTTGGGATGATTCCTACCTTCCTCTGACTAATCAATTTTCTTACAACAACAACTATCACTCCAACATCGGTGCATCGCCTTTTGAGCTTCTTTATGGGAGGAGGTGTCGTACCCCAGTCTGTTGGTGAGAGGTCAGTCATAGGGTCATGGAATTGATTGAGGTAGTTCTCTAGATGACATATCTTATCCAACTGATTAGGCAGAGGTTACAGACAGCTCAGAGTCGGCAGAAGAGTTATGTTGACAGGCGTCGATCTGAGTTGGAGTTCCATGTCGGCGATATGGTTTTACGGAAGGTATCACCATGGAAGGGTGTAATACCCTTTAGGAAGAGGGGCATGTTGGGGCCCTGATATATTGGTCTATTTTGAGTATTAGCCAGGGTATGTAGGGTAGCCTATCGGTTGGATTTGCCTGAGGAGCTCAGTCAGATTAACAACACCTTCCATGTTTCTTAGCTTCGGGATGTGTGTGGCTAATGATTCAACAATTTTTCCTTTGTATGATATTCAGGTTGATGATCGCTTGAATTATGTTGAAAAACTAGTGATGATTTTGGATAAGAAAATGAAGGCCTTGTGCAACAAGGTGGTTCCATTGGTCAAAGTTCGGTAGCAGCATCGGAAGGGTTCCGAATGGACTAGGGAACCTGAGGCAGAGATGCAAGAGCATTACCCTAAGTTTTTCGCAGCATCGGACTTCGAGGACGAAGTCTGATTCAAGTGGGGGAGAATTGTAACACCTTGATGGCAAGTATTTTCCATTTCCACCCCTTAATATGAATTTTTTTTCAAAATTGGACCCATAGCCCATTTTTTTTTGTGAAGTACGTTGGGCGACTCAAGCGTACGCCGAGCGTATGTGGCTGGGGTTCAAACCCTAATTTTTAGGATTTGACCCCTATTTAAACATCATTATCTCCTCAAGACCTTTTCCCTCATTAGCCTCCATCTCCCAAATCGTCCCTTGAAATCCCTAATCCATTGCGTGAGCATTTTTGAGCTTGAGAGTGCATTTTTGGTGTTCTTGAAGGAAGAAGAAGGAAGTGGAATCATCTTGGAGACTCAAGGCATCTTGGATCGAGAAGTGTCTCACCCTCAAGCATCATTTGAAGGTATAAAGTTTAAAACTTGATGAGTTATTTTCTTAGATCTTTCTAGCCTAGAGGTTGTGTTCATTTTTGGTCACATAAGCTTGGTATTCATGCGTATGGCTTACTCTAACTAGAAGAGTTGTCATTTCAGACGTTTTAGGTGCTAGGAACCATAATAATGTGATCTTGGTCCTTATATCCCTTCCATGAAAGTGTTATGATGTCTTATTGGAATATTAAGCTAGGGTTTTAGTTTTCGGACCATTTCTAGCCATCGAAAGTCTGTAAGGTGGAAACTTTATGACTTGGATCGATATTTTGGTTCTAGATCTGAGTTTAGATGAAAAGTCTTTAAGGAATAAGCACTTAATGAGAAAATTTTGATCCAGGCGGAGTACGATGGGTGTACCAAGGGGTACGTTGCGCGTACTAGGCTGAGGCCCCGTGGGTTGGAAGGACTGCGACTACGCCCCGCATAGTAGCCGATTACGTGGGGCGTACTTAGCCTACTTTGACTTCCCTTGACTTTGACTTTCTGAGTTTGACCTTTGACCAAGGGTTTGACCAAGTTTGAATTAGGGGCATTTTGGGTATTTTAAGCTGTAGTTTGAGATTAGGTCACTGTTTGTTGTATAGGTGACCTATTGAGTTGGCATTTGGAGCAGCGTTCATTTCTGCTATCTTTCAGATTGTAAGGTGTTTCCTCACTGTAGTTGTGGGTCGAAGGAACCAATGCCGACCCACTAGGTTATTTATCCTGGTATATAGGATGTTGTTATGCTGTAGTGATCTGTTAGATCCGTATATAATTATCTGTTGCATATGTCGATATGGAGTGGTTTGGGTTGAGGCAATGATGCTTTGTGCGGAAGCTAACAAACCTGGGAGCAAGCCAAACATAATGTGTGGGCCGGATAGGTAAGCCAGAATTATGTTGTGGGCTCGGGAGCAATCCAGACAAGAGTTGTGGGCCAGAAAGGCAAGCCAGGCTCATGTTGTGGGCTCAGGGGTAATCCAACCCGATGGCTGAGGACCCGGTATGCATACTGTTATATGTTTGTGTGGTGGTATTTTCGGGAACTTACTACGCTTATGCTTACGGTTTAAGTGTTATGTTCTAGGTACTTCTGATGATCGTGGCAAGTCGAAGGTGTGATCGTACACATCCTTCAGTGACATGTATAGGAGATTTTATGATACTCTGATTTGGTATATTTGTATTCGATTTTTGATTATTGACTTGGGTTTTGATTGGAAACAATGATTTTATCTTAATCGAAAAATAAAAAATTTTATCGTGATTTTTGGGATGTTATATATATATATATATATATATATATATATATATATATATATATATATATATATATATAATTTTTTTAGGATCAATAAGATCGTTTTTTCAACGCTTATTTTAGAGTTTATCTTATATCGAAAAAAATAAATAAAAATATATAAATTCATCATTTTTTAACCTCTTTCCATATTGATATTCAAAAAAAAAATTTAATATGTAACATGTGCATCACATGCACATAATTTGGAAAAACGTTTTTTTGACCTTATTTTCTATCGAAAAAAAATAAAAATATGAAAATTCATCATTTTTAACCTCTACCATACATAAGTTTTATTTTATTTCATTTTTTTGCATATAACGTAAAATATGCACCATATGCACATAAGTAGAAAAATGTTTGTTTTGATTTTTTAAATCACTTTCTATAGTAGTGTTATAACTTATTAAGATGTTTTTTCATCTATACATTAATGTGCATATATATGCAGATGTACATATATGCATATTTTCATTTTGTGTAAATGTGCATATGTACACATTTTATGTAATTTTTTTTCCGAATATAAATATGGAAAGAGGTTAATAAATGATGAATTTATATATTTTTAGTTATTTTTTCCGATATAAGATAAATTCTAAAACCAATGTTGAAAAATCATGCACATTTTAGTTTGTGTATATATGCACATTATTTTAACTTTTTCTAGATATATATATATTTTTAAATATCTTAATTGTCTAAGATGTCAATATAGAAGGTGATTCGTTGAATATTTCTTTTCAAAAAAATGAGTTTTTTTTACGAAAAATGTACATATGGTGCACATTTTTCGTAGATTTTTTTTTTCGAATATCAATATAGAAAGAGGCTGAAAAATGATGAATTTACAAGATGTTTTTTTTTCGATAAAAGATAGATGAAATTAAAGAAATGGTCCCTGTGTTTTGGTCAGATTCACAATTTCGGTCCTTAAGTTTAAAAATTGATAGGTTGCATCCTTGTGGTTTATGAATATTACAGTTTAGGTCCTTGCTTCATATAAAAAGACTAATTTACCCTTCCTTTTTCTTTTTCATTTTCTTTAATACTTTATTATTATTATTATTATTATTATATAATTTTTTTTATTTTAATATAATTTGTATAGATTTCTTATAAAAATATTTTTATTTTTTTAATTCAATGTCTGAATTATATATATATATATATATATATATATATATATATATATATATATATATATATATCAAATTATTATTTATTCCTATCTTTATTTATTTGTCTTTGTTTTTGTGGTTTGAAAATCTTTTAATATTTTTTACTTCTTTTTCGAATATACGATTTAATATTGTTTTTTCAAGTTTTGTTCGTTCACATTATATAACGTTTTTTATGTTTTGCTCGAATAAACAAATTAAAATAGAACCCCGAATAACTATCAAACATCAAATATAATTATTTAATGTTGTTTTTATTATGTGTTTTTCGTTTACATCATTCGTTTATGTACTTTACTTTTTTTTTCAACTTTAAGAGGTTTTATTTTTACTTTTATAAACGAATAATATTAAATATTAGGATAAATAACTATCATATCATCATTAACAACTATCGAAATAACAACTATATTTTAATAAGTATTTGTTAAAAGAGTATTCTTAAATAAAATTTGCCGTTAGTCAATACCCATTAAGTATATATTCTCTTAAATAAAAAAATTTATAAGAAATTTATACAAATTCTATATGAAAATAAAGAGTTATATAATAATAATAATAATAATAAATTGTTAAAAGAAAATAAAAAAAAAATAATGGTAATTTAGTGTTTTTATATGAAGTAACGACCAAACTATGAATCATGGACCATTTATGTAATTTACTTTATAAAATAAGTTTTAAAATTAGAGTTGAAAAAAATAGTATTAATCTTAAAAAAGTTAGTTAGAACTTTTCTCTCTCTTTTTTATATATTATATATATATATAATAATTATATATATATATATATATATATATATATATCTATAATATATCTATTGTAAGTATCATCACTAATTTTTAGCTTCACCATGACAAATCCCACATTCCTCAAAGGAGGGTTTCCTTTCATTTCTCATCACCCATACTATTACCTTTATCATTCCTGTGATAATCAGTCTTCTGCCTCACACCCTTATCTTAACATGTCATCATCATTATCATCATCACCACCACCATTGAAAGAAGCTCTTCCTCTTCTTAGCAAATTAAACCTCAAAAGAGATCTGGAGCTGGAACACCGTTACCCAACATATAATACAGCCATAGAAGACAGAAACGGTTGCAGCTTTTCAACAAGTACAACCACAAACACAGGTAGTACTACAACGGTTAACGTAACCCTAAATATTGGGCTCCCTACTAGTTATTCTCAAGAGAAGGGTATCAATGGTGATGAAGTGCTTCTAGGGTTTCCTTGCTGCCCTAAACAGAAGGGTGTCAATGGGGAAGTAATGGCTCAAGGGTTTCATTGGTGCCCTAATGCTTCTGGCAAGACGGGTGTCACTAGAAATGAAACCCTTTTAGGGTTACCTTTGAACACATTAAAGAAGACCAAAGAGTACTGGATTCCAAACCCCAGTCAGATTCTTGCTGGTCCTAATCAGTTTTCATGTCCAGTTTGCTTCAAGTCCTTCACAAGATACAATAATCTACAGGTATGTATGTACATTATCTATATGCAATTTATTGTCATACATCATACAGAAATTATATATATATATATATATATATATATATATAATATATATATTATATATATATATATATATATAAAACTTGTCTTCATGTTGAAATTACCAGTTTGAAAATGCCACCAAATCCTAATTAGCCACTTCGTTCTTAGCAAAAGCGTTTGACTTTTGGATAGTTATACCTTTGATTTCACCACGGTGAAAAAATATAGTCTCATAAGACTTAATTACAGTCATCTGGTGGATAAAAACCAGTAATTAAGTAGTAATCACATTTGCAGGTCTGATAGAAAAAAATTAGATAACCTTTTTTTAATTTTTATAAAGCAGAAAAGTCTGCGGATATTCTTTATTCATTGGCATATCTTTAATTCACTTTTACATGATGCATTAAGAGCTACGTATGGTACTTAAGGAATCCATGAATGTTATAGATGTAATAAATATGAGGAATATATATGGCATCATCAGCATATGTTTGCTTTTGTCCAGATATAGCCATGTATTAACTACATATCTGAAAACTTCTGTGTGTTACTGTAGATGTGAATCAGAAGGGTAAAACAGAAATAAAGTAAGTACATCATGAGATTCATAGCAAAATTAACGCCATGTTTAGTCAAGACCCAAACATGTACATGTGAAGACTACTGTTGCTTTAATGTCAGAAGATTCTTCACTCTTATTATTGAACTGTAGGGTTACGATTTTCGCAAAAGGAAGTAAAAAAAACGTAGGCTAGTTTTACTACTTAATGTCTTTAAGGTCTCTTAATATTTATGTGAAAAGCAGATGCATATGTGGGGGCATGGATCGCAATATAGAAAGGGGCCAGAGTCCTTAAAGGGATCCCAGCCCACGGCAATGCTAAAGCTGCCATGCTACTGTTGTGCACCAGGGTGCAAGCACCACATTGACCACCCACGGTCAAGACCACTCAAAGATTTTAGAACCCTTCAAACACATTACAAGAGGAAGCATGGAACCAAGCCATTTGTGTGCAGGAAATGTGGGAAGGCAATTGCAGTGAAGGGTGACTGGAGAACACATGAAAAGAACTGTGGAAGGATTTGGTATTGTAATTGTGGTTCTGACTTTAAACACAAAAGGTCACTAAAAGATCATGTGAAGGCGTTTGGTGATGGACATGTTGGTGCTTCTGGTACAGATCTCTTTCAAGAACAAGAAGATGATGAAGATGAAGGCATGTTATCTGAGATAGAATACATGTAACGTGATATGAAAGCTGGCTACTTGAAACCGATGAAGTTTGGTGAATGTTTTTCTGACTCTTGACTTTATGTCTTGTATTTAGACCTGCGGTTTGCTGTATGATCTTGTATATTATTGTTTCTTAGTTTTTTAACCAGTATATTTATCACTTGCAGTGTTGCAAAAGGATCATTGAAGTTTGTAAACTTTTAATCTAAATGCATAAAATTGCAAACTTCGACGTTCCTTCTTCATCATATTCAAAGGATTCAAAACATTATAATTCACTCTTAATATTGTTCCTCATGGTATCTCAATTCTCCCCGCTTGAGGTAGCTAAGTTTGAGGCGGTCATTGGGGCCTTCTTGTGGGTTTTGTGGTCCTATAGAAAGGACATTCTTTTAATGGAAAGACGAAAACTGTATATCATTTAGTTGTAGATTTTTTTTTTTTTTTTTTTATTTACTTATTTTTTTTTTTGTGGGTTAGTGTAGAGCCAAAGGTCTTGTAACTTGTCTTGGGACTCAATGTGCATTGAATAAATGAAATTTAAAATGAGAGGACCTGTAATGTGAAGACATGTAAAGTTCGTTAATATTCCAATAACTTTTTGAAAGATCTGATAGTATTTTTGTAACTATGTACAGTTTCCTTGCCGTCATCAACCATTACAAAAACTAGAACCGAAGAACTAGGGGTGAGCGCGGTGCGGTTCGGTGCGGTTATTAGCCAAAACCTCTCCACTAACCGCAAATGCGGTCAATCCATTTTCTAAACCGCTTGGTGCGGTTATTTTTGCTGTGCGGTTAGGCGGTTATTTTTGCGGTGCGGTTTTGTTTTTTCTGTGTTGCGGTTATTAACCGCATGGATTTGGTGCGATTATTTTGTATGGTTTTTAACTATAGTTTAGAGCTCAAACGGTGTTTAGAGTTCAAACATATTACTTGTAATAATAAAAAAACCATAATGTATAAGACAATTAACTTAAATCACAAACAACTAATATTTTAAAAACGTTAAATCAATAGTAATTAACAATAAATATCTTAAAATTGTCTAATTTCACTATTTTTCAAAGTTAAACATAACAAAAAAACAATATTTGTGTCTTTTAGTATTTTATCCATCTTTCATCCATGAAACTAGTCTTCTTTTTAATATTTAATATATTAATAATTAATAAAAAAATGTATATAATATATGCGGTGTGGTGCGGTTGTTTTGCGGTTTTTGAAAACCAATAACCGCATCGCACCGCCAGTTTGCGGTTTTTGAAAAACAGAAAACATCACCATCGGTTTTTATTGCGGTTGCAGTTTATCGGTTGCGGTTTATGCGGTTAATTTTAGTTGCGTTGCGGTTTTTGCTCACCCCTAAAGAAAACTATGATCATCACAGTGATACTGTCTAACAGGTTTTACTATAGATCATTAGGTTGGACGTAGTGGCTTCGACAATAGGCTTGGCGACCTTGGCGAACACCAGGCCGGCCGACCCCTCGGCATGCCGAACTCGGCTCGGCAACTCGGTAAAGATGTGCCGAGTCTCTTTCTTCTTCCTCCTTCCTTCTCCCCCACACGACAACCCACCCCTCTCTTCTTCTTTCTCTTCTTCTTCCGAGTTTCTTTTCCGTTCAGCCTTAAAGCCATCAATTATAGACCAAACTAAGGGCAATGTATTAATTTCATATATTTAGAGGGTGTTTTGGGATTTCATTTTGATCATCAAAACAAGAAAAAACAACCATTAGGGACGACATTATTTGCGACGACAAGAGGCATTTGGGACGACATCAATCAAACGCGGGATTGTCATCGCAATTGGCCCGGCGTTGCCGCTAATAGTGTTGTCCCTAATGATAGCAACCGACGATCCGGAGAACGTACGCTATACTCAATCGTGGTCGTACATTTCCCACAAAGCGATTCGTGTTACACTCTTAAGAAGCAACCTTGGCCCTACCTTATCGAGCAGATCCAACAGTCAAAAATCATGAGAAAATGGCGCCATTGATTCCCTCCAACTTGTCGCCGCTATTGGTCACATGTCGCCGTTAAAGCTGTTGTCGCAAAAGGTTCTCACATTTTGTTTCCCTTCGTCCCATATCAGATACTCCACGCAACTATTTTCCCAAACGAAATCTCCGACGTACACC